TTATTTTAATGTGACTAAAGTTAAACAATTTATCCATCTATTTGATTATCCATCTATAAGATTAGGACAATGATACCTAGCTTTCAGGATTATTGACAGAAATACAGATAATACTTAAAAATGCTTTTAAAATGTTAACTGCTATTTTTACTTACTAGACAAAATTCCAAAACACCTTGAATCTCAGCCTTTTGCTCTTTCTAAGAGTATGATGTCAGGATGAGTTTTAAAAGTTAGATTCATATTTTTTAAATCCTTTTACTAAAGACCTCCCTATTTTTTGATAATGTCCTCCAATAATGTCATAATTAGGCCTAGATCATTGTTTGACATGGAATGGGTCTCAACAGCCCACTCAGAATGCTCCAGGAAAAATTATGCGAATAATTCAGGAAACGCTGTATGCTTTGGCTCTAAACTAAAGAGAAGCAGAGTTTATGAACATCCAAAAGGTTTCTGAAAAATCTTGCAGGGAAAAAGAAATCTGCATAAACTAGCTTAACCAGTTTCTTTGCACACTTAAATGTAATATTTACTAGTATCCTCACAGACTTGTGTTACCTGGACCACCTCCTCCCCAAAAATAACTTACAAAAGTGCTGCTAAAGGTACAAGTTAACTAAAATAATATGTATGGATAACTAAAAAATAATGGCTTTAATGCCTTCTAAGTGTTGAATAAGTAAAATATCAAGTCACTGGATTTATTTGTACTTTGAAAATTTCACACGCAGGACTATAGGATGGGAGAAGTGGGGGAGACCGTCCATGGGTTCAGAGTTTTACCTTGGGGTTGCACAACATAATCAGTATGCTAAATGACAGTGAATTACTTCCTTTAGAATGTTTCCGTTTAGATTATGTGAATTTTAACCTCAATAAATTATCTTTTTAAATTTCACAAATGCATAAAAAGTTCAACTTCGAAGTATTAAAACCTAAATATTTCAAGAGTTGTATGAGAGGGGCGCCTGGGTGGCTCAGTCGTTAAGCGTCTGCCTTCGGCTCAGGTCATGATCCCAGGGTCCTGGGATCGAGCCCCGCATCGGGCTCCCTGCTCAGCGGGAAGCCTGCTTCTCCCTCTCCCACTCCCCCGTTTGTGTTCCCTCTCTCGCTGTGTCTCTCTCTGTCAAATAAATAAATAAAATCTTAAAAAAAAAAAAAAGAGTTGTATGAGAAACCATCAAAAAGTTTCACAGATTTAAAGCATGTGTAATCATGTGTATCGACTCATTACATTGTACACCTGAAAGTAATTTAATGCTATGTCGATTATACCTCAATTTTAATTACCAGATCAAAGAACAAGTTTTCTAAATGGTCTCCAAAATGTCTATATGTATTTATAAAAATAAAAATCAATATTTCTTTTAAGCTCTGAAATTGCAGAAGCTATATAATAAAGTCAATACTGGGGGAGGGGGAGGGTATTTTCTACAGGTAGCTAATATTTTACAGGCAGATTACAAACCATCACAAAACACATATTGACAGAGATTGACTGTGGCTGCTATAACTTAATCTCAGCAGTCATGATCTCAAACCTCTAGAGCCTCACTTCATGGTTTATGATATAGTTACATCACAATCCCTCAATGGAATTACAGCTTTGTCACTAATCTCTCCCTATCCATTACCCTGTAAGGAAGGAAGCTGCAAGGCACCACTAGAAAGAGGCAATGGCATGAGTGATTGCATTCAGTCTCTTTCCACAACAATATCTGTAAGTCTGGGAGTGATAAATGGCACCCAAGTTATAAACGAGCAACAGGGTCAGTAGCACCAAGCAGCCGCGAGTTCAAAGAAAAGTCACAATTCTGACGGGTTCAAGAAAAGGCCACATACTGCCGGCATGCATCAGCAGAGATAAATCCTCAGAGATGCCTTACTGCAATTACAAAACAGACTTAGAAAAAGCCTGTAATTGAAGAACTAAGATTTTTGTCCAGGAATGGAACGAAGACATTATACATGAAAGACATGTAACTGAACAGCACTAATTTTCTTCTTATTCTCCTCTCCTGACTGTCTCAAATATATCTGTAGAGTCCAGAAGAAACATGGAGAGAAATGGCCTCTCTAGGATTGTTTCATGCTGTGTCTATATCTCTTTTTTTTTTTTTTTAATATTTTATTTATTTGACAGAGACACAGCCAGAGAGGGAACACAAGCAGGGGGAGTGGGAGAGGGAGAAGCAGGCTTCCCACCCAGCAGGGAGCCCGATGTGGGGCTCGATCCCAGGACCCTGGGATCATGACCTGAGCCGAAGGCAGATGCTTAACGACTGAGCCACCCAGGCGCCCCTATATCTCTTTATACATATCCTTAGGTGAATGTGATTTTTCCTTATGAATTAAAATATACAAATCTTCTAACAATATTACAAATAAACACCACTCACTGAGTGTTATAATGGAAAGTTGCCTGAGAAACCTTATTTGACCTTTCATGTAACAGAGACCCAGAAATGTTGAGGGTCTTTCCCAAGGTCATGTCACTGATAACTGGCAGATTAGGATTAAAATCATTGAGTTCCTGATGTCTTCTCCTATCTTCTTTCCACTTAATAAAAACTCCAGTAGCTCAAGTAGATAGCTACTAAAGCTCTTGTGGCATCTAGGTCTCTCATCGGATGGCTATAGTCCTCAAACTTTTATGCTCTATACAGATTTGTAATAGATTTCACTAATCTTTGCTATTTCTCATTTATTTGTTCATGAGGATCAAGACAAATTGTATCACATTGGAAAATTTGCTAGCCCATTGTGATGCAAAGCTGAAAAAGAATACAAGAAGATTCCAGTCATTGGAATCTCCACTACTCCTCAGAGAAAGAAGCCTTAAAACAAAGTGGTCTTGAAGATATTGAAAAAGCTTCCCTCCGTTTTCACTCCACTTCCTCATGAGGATACTCACCATACTCCTGTGATAGCCATGGAGATTTTCTTCCTTATTTTAAGCAGTCATGTTTAAATAAAAATATTTTATTTTTTTAATAAAAATAGGATAAATATATTGGATAAAAAAGGACAAAAAATATTGCATCACATCTCCCATGAGTGATTAACATTAGGATTATGATTTTCACAATGCTTTTCCCTGAAGCAACAGGATATGAAACGTTAAAAAGCTGTTTATTGTATCCAGCAATGGAAAATTTAAGGCATATTTTGTATATGTGTGCTTTTAAGATTCAAGATGATTTTACAAAATTTTAACAAGACACTAATGAAAAAAACATACTATATTTTCAACAGTGGCATAAAACTGTAATTAGTGCTAATCAAAGGACATGGGAGCTCTTATCATCCAAATTGGTGGACAACCCAAGAATGACTTACTTGTCTTTAAAGACCATTTTTATATGTAGTTATTTTGTGCATGTCTAATGTTCTGGAAATACTTCAAAGTATTGAAATTTTACCATAAAGCTTTGAAGATTTATTTCCCCCATTGTGTCCCATAACTGCCTTCACAACACTTTCCAACTCTTCATGAGAGCACCTCTCTGACTGGCATGGGATCAGGCCCAAAGAATTTCTGCAAAATTGCTGACTCATACCTCTCCTGAATGTGTATAATAAGGGTTTTGCTTCCAAAGTATCTCTCCTCTTGCCATGCTAAACTTGAAAAACATAAGATGGGTATTTCAATCAAGTACATAATTAATAAGTCTAGAACATGAAAGTGAAATTTTTTTAATGGATAATGAAAAATTTGGGTGATTAATAGAAAGCCACACAGCTTCACATACATGTGAGAATTATGGAAAGTGCTTGCACGGGACAGGAAGATCAATAGAAAATGCAACCACTGACGTGTCCTGTGCACTCTAGATTCTAGAAAAATTATAGTCCAAGGCAAATCCTTCTGCAACAACTTCAAAGATTGTCTGAATTCTTTCTTTGTGCTGGAATGTTCTAATTATTATGGCTAGAAAAACCAAGTTGCAGGATAATTAATCACCTCCTCAGTCAGGATTGGACTAAAATAAAACAGACCTTCAGTGCCCCAGGATTTCTCTTGGCACCTTTTCTTTAATTTGAGTAGGTTCCTTCATGAATATGCAAAATACAGAATTAACCATCGTTTTGTTACTCCATGAAATAAATCGCTCATGCTAATTTATCCTGTTAGCAATGCTGTGTGTACGGCTTTGCTTTCCTCTTTGTGCTGTGGGCTTCCAGAGAAGCTGTTCACTCAGTGTCAACGTAAATGTTTCCTTTAGTCCTTGCTAAGCTAGAAAAATCTATGCTCCATTTTCAGGGGGGGACATCATGAATAGAGAAATAGCCCAGCCAAAGCACTTTCTAACTTAATTAAGACTAATATTGTAATGAACACATTAAAGCATAAACATTGTTGGCAATCGGCTGGAGCTGAGAGACTTTTTTAAACCTGTGGTGGATTTTACTGTTGTAATAATGGTTTTTACCATAATGAAATTTAATGCATTACTGGGGAAAAAGCCATGCCCTGTGGTAGGGTGCTGTTTATATTTCGAAACACGTTAGTGTGAAGCTACAGTGAGATCTAATAATAGAAATGAACTTACCTAAAGATGTATTGATTTTTATATTAGGTCATGTTGAGAATTTACAAAGAACATCTAGTCCATGAAAAAAAAGAAAATCCTCTTGAGAATAGCATTGATTGCAAGAAGGGTAATATTAGAAAAATGGAAATCCTCTCCTCCCGAAATGGTATACATTCATATAATGCATTAAGTGCACTAGGTAGCTTAGGAAAGGTCATCTTTCAGATAAATGATAAATTTGATATATTTCAGTAGATTTAATCACCCCCTGAGATTTGACCAAAACAATGAAGTAAAAAAATAATATCCATTCCCAACCATACGATTTGCTTGTTAAAAACACCTCGCCCATATAATTTGCTTATTTACTCTAACTTCTGAAATTTTAAATATTATTTCTGTTATCATGACCTATTAAATAAAATTCCCCACAAAATGAATTCCTACCATGTTAATACTTACTTCAGTCACAGGAGGGCTTCAAAGAAGGTAAGATTGTCTTTTAAGCAAAATACCTGAAAAGAGAAGGAACAGAGTTTAGGGCAGTATTAGGTTCCATCTTTTACAAAACCAGAGATCTTCCCTAAGACATAAGAGACTGGAGAGGGAAGGTACTTTCTTACGCCCACATTGGAAAGTTGGAATCAGCATTTAAGTCTATACATATGTATTTAAAAAAAAAAAACACTTCGTTAACAGTTTTTTTGGAGTTGTGTATTTCTGCATTTCCGTCATTCTAGTTTATGTTGTTTATCCACATTCTCTGCTATATTCCTAATGCATTTTGTTTTAAAATATTAGGTCAGTTTTCATTTCTTGATGGGCATGCCTCTGGAGTGTTTTCCTAATCTGTAGGGATGTTCTGCTGCTCCTTACTGTCTTTTTTCCAATATTAAATTGGTATGAGACTCAACTCACTTTTTCTATTGCTCAGTTTTAAGTAAAATGAGCTTTCAGGTCCTTTTTGAAAGAAGGGATGAGCCAACTTCATGGCTCTAGAGCTCCCTCTTTTGTTGTTTTCACAAAGTGATTGAAACAACATGGAGTCCTGCTTTCTGACGTGTGCTACCTCCACATTCCTTTCCTATTTTTACCTAGATCAAGGGAGGCGAACTACAGCCGGTGGATGAAATATGGACCTCTGGCCTGTGTTTGGTACTACCCTCAAGTTAAGAATGTTTTTCACGTTTTTAAAATATTGTTTAAAAAAATAGAAAAGAAAAAAGGAAGGAAGAAAGGAAAGGAGGGAGGAGGGGTGGAGGGTGGGGCAGAGGGAGACATAAAGGGAGGGAGTGAGGGAGGAAGGAGGATGATCCAACAGAGACTATATAGGGCCCACAGGCAAGCTTGGAAACTTACCATCTGGCCCTTTCCAGAAAGTTTGCCATTTCCTGAGATCTGGATCAACATTTTCCTTTTGAACTTGTTGTCATTTTCTTGTTTGGTTTGAAGTCTACTGATTCTACTGCCAGAATTTTCTCCTGGTTCAAGACTTTGACCTGGAAGAAAGCTTCCATCTTTTATTACCAAGGAAGGATTCTTGGGGTCCAGACCTAACAGTGGTCGCCATCCACTAACCAGTAAATCAGATCCAGAGAAATCCCTCCAGCTTTGCTATTTTCAGATTGCCACACTTTTCAGCTGGTTTTCTCTCTATCTGTGGAAAGATTCAGGGAGAGCTGAAATTTAGGCCACTGCTTCCATCTTCCGAAAATCTTGAGTTATTTATTTATTTTTTTTAATGATAAAAAGGACCTAGAAAGATGAGGAACCTTCTGTATTCTCTTTATGAACTGGAATGTGATTTTTTTTTTTTTAAGGACCAAGTATGTGTTTAGTAAATACTTATTAGCTTGATTGTTTCTTCCTTACCTTTAATAAAATATTTAATTATTTTTATGTTAATAAAACTGATCAAATAATTAAATTTCAATTTACATGCCAGTCTACAATAAAATCACATCCTCTCAGAGATAGCAGAGTATTTCCACAGGGTTAATTCTATGTCTCCTCTAATAATAAATTCTGCAATCTCAGAGAGTGTAAGCTCTTTTATTCTCTTTGTTTCAGATTTCCTTTTCAAGGATGAAGGATAATATGAACCGTCATAATTAAATTTATTCTATGAGCATGATAGAGTCCCTTACTATATTGATTGGACCCATGGACAGGTAACTATTCAGAACTCTGCACAAAGTATAAAAAGTAACTCTGAGGAGACCCTGGAGAGCAAGCAAGAGCAGGAAGAAACTGGAGGGCATGTGACTCTCTCATGAAGGAAACGAGCTGCGCCAGGTAGAGTCCTTGTTTACTAGCTTTTCACTGAGGATGTCCAGGTAACACCTGGGGGAGGGGGTGAAGGATGCTGACGCTTAAGCCAAGGCTCAGACCTGCTGACTGCAAAAGTCAGAGCATCGAGTTTGGGCTGCTAACTGGCTGAACACTGAGAGGGGAAAAAAACAAAGCTAAAGTCCACAAAGCAAAAGGTCCTCAAAACTGCGTATAAGCTCCCACCAAAAATCTTGGCTGATCCTTGGATATAGCCTGGGTGGGAGATGGGGAACTGTTGGTTTGCAATGTCAGGAGCTCCCCTGGTGAAATCATAAACTGGCCAGCAGATGGAAGGCAGAGAGAGACCAAAGAAAGTGGCAGACACTCCAGATTGGTAGGTGGCAGGTTTAAAAAGTAAGGGAACTTACTAGGCTTTTCTTGGGTCGCCGCAAGAGGAGTAGATGCGGGCACCATGTGCCAGAATGTTGAGTTTATATAGAAGCTGTAATGCGGTCCAGTCACTTATATCTTCCGGAAGATCTCAACACATTCCTCTCTCAAGGCTTTGTCCTTGAGGTGGCTCCTAGTGTGGGGAAAAGTAAGGGAGACCTACATTCCACGGGCAAGGGAGGGGGTGAGGAGCCTCCCATTGCAGGGGTCCAGCTCTCAGGTTAACCAGCGGTCATGTCCTTTTGATGGCCTCTTCCAACAGGAACTTCAAGGTTTTGTGTCAAAAGCAACACCTGGGAAGGCTAAAAGAATGAAGCAGTTTCAGTTGCGGCTCATTTCAGGGCAGACAGAGTTTAGAGTTAAAACCCTAACTAACTTAACTAACTACCTGCTAGGACAAAATTAACTAACTACCTGCTAGGACAAAAATCAGCACTCTTCAAGAAGGTTACAAAATCCAGAGTCTCTCAGGGCAAAAAGTAGACAATAGACCAACCCCTCACCTGAATGACCCAGATGTTAGAATAGCAGACGAGCATTTTAAACACCTATTATGAAAATGCGCAAGGACTTAAGGAAAAAAATACAGGCATAATCAATGAATGAGGGAACATTATAGCAGAGAAAGTGAAAATCTACAAAAGAATAAAATGGAATATCTAGAACCAAAAAGTAAAATATATTAAATGAGGAAGTACCTGGATAAACTTAACAGCCAATTGGAAATGACAGAAAAATTATAATAATGTAATTATTAAATTTTACAATTTATTATAGTTATAAGAATAATTAGTATTAAATCATAATTACTAAATTATAAATTATTAAAATATAACATATTTATTGTAATTATATTATTATTAAATATACACATATGTGCTCAAATATAAACATTAATGATGAAAATTGCTAGCTACTGTCAAGGTCTGTTTGTTTCTAAACACAGGTCCTGAATGCTATCTGGAACTCGTTCTTCTTCATATCAACTGAGTAAACCATCTAATACAGATCAAAACAAACACAGTCAGGCATTTATCTGTGAAGCCAGGAGGAAAGAAAGATCATTATCTAACCCTCATCAACAAAAGGTTTTCATACCAAGTCAGCTCAGACTTTGAACTTGGACCTTTAAGGCCTGAAAGTATGATCATAAGAATTAACCTAGGTTAGAGAAACATGATTCTTAAAGCAAAAGTCTGGAAAAAAATCTTTTTAACTACCTTAGCACTTTCAATTGAATTTTTAACTACTTACAATATATATAACTTTATTTATTCATAACTTTGGTAAAGACCTATAACATGCCCTGAGATGGGCACCACAGGAGATACAAAGTGAATGAGACATTCTTAGCCTTTAAAGGAATTTAAAATCTAGGTTAGATGCTAAGATGTACATATACACATGCAAAAAATAAAAATAGAATATGATAAGTAATTCAAGAACAAAAGAACCAGGGAATTGTAGTCATTCAGAGAAGGAAACATTTACTTCTAGGGTGATTGTCTAGAAAAGATAGCATTTTAGGCAGCTTTTGGAAATAAAAAGCTTAGTCTGAGTTTTGGCAGGTGGACATGTTTGTATAGGGCATTCGAGTGGATAAGGGCATGTTGATAAATGTTGGCAAATCAGATAAAAGAACAGGTTGCAAGTTCAGACTCTCTTTATACCATCAATATTCTGCCAAGGCTTATATAATTTGAATTTTATGTAAAATAAAAATAATCTACTTTTAGATCCAATCACAAACAAATCTCGCCACTTTATTAATGTTATTAAAACCAAAGAATCAGATTTTAATCACCAGCATATTCAAAAAATTTCTCATGATTGCAATTTGAGTTTTAGGTTAAGTTAAAAACAGTTTCTTTTTATATTCAGTCATGAACAAATCTCATCACTTTATCAACATTATTAAAACCAAAGAATCAGGTTTTAATACCCCGCATACCCATGAAATTCCTCATAACTTACTCTTTTTAGAAATAAAACAAAAGAAAGAAAAATCATATAAAGACATGAAATTTTTGCATGCTACATATATACACTATTTCTCAAGTGAAAATAAACTGCATTGTTAATGAGCATATTCCATGTATCAGGCGTAATGGGAAAGCAATTTATGTGTATCATGATTTCATGTAGATGTCTACTCTGTGCAAAGCACTGTGCTAGATACTACAGAAAAAAAAAAGAAGACAGGTCTCCATCCTTTAAGGCATTTGCACATTAATAAGGGAAACACACATGAGTTCAGTTATGCCTGAATGAGATCTATGCATTTATCAGCCCAAAGTTGTAAATATCCTTGGCTATTCAGAAAGAGAGAACATTTTTCCCTTACCGCCTGTCTGACTTACATCCTTTTCTTCAGAATATCCATTATAGTTCTCTTCCTGCATCACAACACTTCTTAGACTACATTTTAATTGTGTGCCTGACTTGCTCTGATGGGCCAAGACTGAGCCATCACCTCTTTTTGCCTCTCAGAATCTGGGAAGTCCTTGAGTATTCCGTTATACAATAAATATTTCATTAAAGGAGGAATAAATAAATAAGTGGTAACTTTATTTTTTTAAAGATTTATTTATTTATTTGAGGGAGTGAGAGAACACAAGCAGGGAGAGAGACAGACGGAGAGGGAGAGAGAATCCTCAAGCAGACTCCACACTGAGTGGGGAGCCTGTCACCGGGGCTCGATCCCAGGATCTGAGCCAAAATCAAGAGTTGGTCACCTAACCAACAAAGCCACCCAGGCACCCCTGAGTGGTAACTTTAAAATCACTTCTGATTATAAACCTTGATTTAACAAAAGAGGACTATATATGGTATGACCATAGAAATTACAGAGATATAGATTAGGATGGAATCCAAAAAGATAAAAAAAGATCAAATCCTTTTATTTTCTCAAACAGACTTCAATAATCTTCTCCTAAAACATTATAAATATCTAAATTATTTTAAGTATATACACGGAAAAGGGTGACCTATCATATATTTTGGTATTATATGCCAAAGTTCAATTAAATATTTAGATTCGTACTTAATCTAAATTCTACTCATAGAAAAGTTCTCATCTTTACTCCATAATAGAAATTGGAACCTATCATGTGATGCAAACCTTTTTCTTATAAAGGTTCCATGTCTTCCTTGGCATTTAAAATAATAACAAAGTTTTTTAGGTCTGTCCTACTTTTTCTCTTTTTTTGAAAAATATAGACTTTTTTAGAGCAGTTTATTGCAAAATTGAGCAGAACATACAGATGAGAATTAAAGAGATTTAACTAAACAAAATAATTATGAGATTGTGAGACACAAGATTTCTCATTTACTTTTGTTTCTATATGAGTCCTTTTACTTCATTAATGACTTCTTTTTTCATATAATGACTTTTAAATGTTGTAATAGAGGTAAAGGGCATTGATCTTGTGATTCCTCAAACCATAAGTATATACTCCTCACCACAGTCACGAATTGGGTGTTTGATGATAATGATGGTGATGATGATGACGATGATAATGATGTTAGCTGACCAGGAAGGAGAGGAGAGACTTCTCCTCTACATGTTATTTATACCTCCTCCTCCATCTTTTCCCAAAGAGAATTGACATTACATCCCAATGACAGATTAAGCTGTTCTTAATTTAAAGCTGTACAGAGTTCAAGAATGAGATTAAAAGTAGCCAATACAACCTGAAATGGATACCTGGCTATCATGTACCACACATTTTCCTGGGATTCCCAATAATATCCTGAAACAGTGACTAAATCCTTGTTCCTCTTGTGTATTTTATAAAGTTCACAGACACTGTCATGCAGTTTCCAAGGTTTTTCTCCTCCATCGGGTATGCAGTAAAGATGGAGCTTTGTTCTCATGCAAAAATAATTATGAGATTGTGAGACACAAGATGAACCCTTTATATGTAACCAGAG